GTTCGATTGTCCCATCAGCCTTGTATTTCAAATTGAAGACCCATTTGCACCCAACAGGTTTCTTTCCTTTTGGTAAGTTCATTACTTCCCAAGTTTCATTCTTTTCTAATGCTCGCATTTCATCCAATACCGCTTCTCTCCATGTTGGAATTTCCAACGCTTCCTGAATAGTTCTTGGGATCACTGTACTGTCAAGGTGAGTAGTAAAGGCACGAAAGCTTGTAGATAAAGCATTATAGGACATAAATTTTGAAATAGGGTGTAGAGTACATGACCGTGTTTGTTTTCTAAGGGCAATGGGTAAGTCTGTATCAGATACTTTCCGAGGTTCTGGAGCTACCATCGGTTCGACTCTCTTGGTGCTTCAGGGGTGAGGTCCTCTATGTTCCTTGATTTCGACTTTCTTGAATAAACCAGTATCTCTTTATCATTTTGTTTATCTTTATCTCCCCCTGGATTCAAGTTCCATTCTGTTAATGGCATACTAGAACCAGACGGTGGGATATGTTCAGGAGAGGAGAGGCTAAAGTCAAAAAACCGATCTTCATATAAGGTCTCCCTCGGAAGAGAGGTGTTTTGAAAGTAAGGAGTGTTTTCGAAGAAAGTAACATCAAGCTTACAAAGGTCTTTTTGGTAGAAGGGTCATAGCATTTGTAGCCTTTTTGTGTAGGAGAGTATTCAATCAGGACGCATTTAATAGCAGGATCAAGTTTACTTCTGTGATGAATATGAACGAAAGCATTGCACCCAAACACTTTTAGGGAGATATTAGAGCTGAGTCGAGACGTTGGGAAATATTTCTGAAACTTTTGGAGTGGTGTCTCGAAATCGAGGACTCGACTGGGCATACGATTGATTAAATATGCGGATGTAAGAATAGCGTCTCCCCAAAACATTTTAGGCATGTGCATAGTAAACATTAAGGCACGGGCAACTTCAAGAAGATGTCTATTTTTTCGTTCGGCAATCCCATTTTGTTGAGGAGTGTCGACGCAGGAGTTTTGATGGATTATTCCATGTGTTTGAAGAAAGGTACCCATGATAGTATTAAAGTATTTTGTGCCATTGTCAGTATGTAAAATTTGAATCTGGGTTTGGAATTGTGTTTGGATCATGGAATGGAAGTTGATAAACACGGAGCGAACATCATATTTATCTTTTAGTAGGTAGACCCAACAAATTCGAGTGTGGTCATCAATGAACGTAACAAACCATTTTGTGTGGGTGTGATTCGAGACTTGAGAGGGGCCCCATACATCACTGTGATACTCACATCAGCCTCGTCAAAGCAGTAGAGTCCGTCACTTTCCTTAGCACTGCCAATTGTCTTCCCCGATGATAGGTCCTGAAAAATACAGTGAGATGGGAAAAATTTAGCGAAGCAATTGGAAGTTTTGGTTAACTGGCTGATAGATAATAAATTGCATGATAGATTTGGAACATGAAGGACGGATTTTAAAGTTATAGAATCAGAAATTTGAATACTCTCTTTTCCTGCCACAGTTGACAAAGACCTGTAGGCAATTTTAACCTTAAGATTGCCAGCACATGTTGTATATGAAGAGAATAGGCGGTAGGAGTCCGTCATGTGATCAGAGGCTCCAGAGTCAATGATCCAGGGAGTTTTAGATTGAATAGTGGATTTTAATGCTCTCAAAAAATTACCTCTGTGAGCTAGAGAACCTGAAGGATTGTATTTATCGGCCTGACTTGACGATTGAAGGCTAGAAAACATTTTGTAGAGTTGCTCAATTTGCTCCGAGTTA